TTCCTTCCTCTTTTGATGCAGTGCTAGAAAATTGAACCCAGGGTCTACTACTGAACTACATCTCCAGCCCCACTTGCTTTCCTTGACATTTTTCTTGTCCCCACAGGGAGGCTCTAGGAAGGCCCAGGGCCATGTTCTTTAATTTGCTCCTTCAGGGACCTCCTTGTGCCTTCCATGTCTGGCACAGAACAGTGCTCCGTGACTGGCCAGACACGCAAGGAAGTAGAATGTGAGGGCCCCTATGGAGGTTTTGGCCAATGGAGACGTGTCCCTGGAAATAGTGACCTATGCTGTCTTCAGATGCTGGTAATGCTAGATGTGCAGATAGAAAGCCTGGATTCAAATCTCACTCTACCATTTGGGCAAGTGTTTAACCTCGGTTTCCTGGTCTGTGACAGGTCCCCTACACCCAGGTTGTGGGCATGTTCAGGGACTGCATGGGATCATAGAATGGGCTCAGATCATTTGATTTATGTCTTCATCTTGGACAGTACTTCCAGAAAAGAACAAAGACAAAGGGAAGAAAGGGAAGAAGGACAGAGGCCTCAAGGTGACGAAGCAGCCCCTGGAGGGGGCTACAAGAGCCCCCAAGAAAGGAAAGGAGAAGCCACCAAAGGCCACGAAGAAGCCCAAAGAAAAGCCACCCAAGGCCACCAAGAAGCCCAAGGAAAAGCCACCCAAGGCCACCAAGAAGCCCAAGGAGAAACCACCCAAGGCCACCAAGAAGCCCCTGGCAGGAAAGAAGCTCTCAACTACGGCCCCCTTAGAAACCATGGAGTGGCCACTGCCCCCACCCACCAGTCCCAGCCCCGAGGAACAACCACAGGAGAGAGGTTTGTGCCAGGCTTCCACGGGGTTCTAACCTCTTTGGGCACATGGAGGAGTTAGAACAGATCCCTGGGACCCTAGGATAAGATGGGCTTTGGGGCCTTGTTATGCATCTGGCAATTTTATCAGTAAATTCCATGTTGCAGCTTCCTGGGCAGGGAGAGAGCTTAGCAGCTTATGGGTGGAGAACTCTGCCCTCTGGTCCCTCCTGTTTTCCTCTGCTTTATGGAAGGGCTCCCCAGAAAGCAGCACAGCTCTCTAGTTCCAGCAAGGTGTCTATGCCTCCTTAGAGAAAACTGTGATCTTAGGTGGGTGTCCACAGAGTCTGTGGAGGCTCTGTGATACCTTGTGGCCTTAAGATCTTAGATTGAGGGGCTGGAGAGATGGCTCAGTGGTTAAGAACACTGGTTGTTCTTGCAGAAGACCCGGGTTTGAATCCCAGCACCCACATGGCAGCTAACAACTGTCTGTAACTCCAGTTCCAGGGGATCTGAGTCTCTTCTGTCCTCCGTAGGCATTGCATGACATGGGTGCACTTATCTACATGCAAGCAATACACGCATACACATAATATAAAAATAATAAAATATTTTAAATAAAGATCTTAGATTATTGGGGTAGGCACCCATGTTCACCTGTTTCTGGGGCTTCTGTGTTGCAGGGAGGACCTTCCCAAATCCCAGGCAAGGTCATGGAGAGGAAACCCAGGTGGAAACTCAGAAGCACTGGCCAGGTGGGTGGCCATCATCCTCTTGGTCTCAGGGTGACCAGATGCTCTGCCCTGCTGAGCAGGAGTTTCCCAGAGTGTGCCTGGGTGGGATTGTCAGGTAGCCACTGTTATATTTCTCTCAGAGCCAGAGGAGGAAACTGAGGTACCTACGCTGGACTACAATGACCAGATAGAGAAAGAGGATTATGAAGACTGTGAGTAGGCCCCTGCCCAGGTGTGGACCAGACTCTGGTCTGGGCACTGATGGTCCTACCTGAGGGCCTCCTAGCATGGCTGCTCAGAGTCTGCCTCCCCCTCAGTTGAGTACATCCGGCGCCAGAAGCAGCCCAGACCACCACCTGGCAGGAGGAGGCAATGGCCAGAGCGTCTTGAGGAAAAAATTGAAGAGCCAGAGGAAAGGAAGGAGATTGGTAGGATGGGAGGCAGAGGAAGGGGCTCAGGGTCAGGGGAGGGGCCCTGGCTCACCTCTACCTCTTTACTTCTGCAGACCCACCTCTGAAGCCCCTGTTGCCCCCTGATTATGGGGATGGCTACTTGATCCCCAACTATGATGACAGTGAGTATCTGGCACCCCAGAATCCAAGGGATGCAGACAAGTGGACATCTGGGGCCAGGAGTATGGTCAGGACCCTGGGCCTTCTCTGCCTACCTTTCTGGTGCCTGACTGCTCTTGCCCCCACCAGGGGTGTCCTAGGTCTCACTCTCAGCCCTTTTACTCCATATGGGCCCAGCCCTCCCCATCCTGTGCTCTGGTTGGCTTTCTGCCAGCTCATTGCCACCTGTCTCACCCAAGAGGCTATTGCCTTTGTCTCATTCCCTACACACATTCCAGATTCCCTCCTTCCTGGGCTATAAGCTTGTATGGGTCCTTACCATTTCCCAGTCCTTAGGTACCCATTGGTGTCTTCAACCCTTGGTCTCAGCCCTGATCTCATGGCCCACCTCCTCCTAGCCATAGATGCTAGGAACAACCCGGCATACCTCTTGCCCTAGAGCTACTCTTTACCCACCTTTGATTCTTCCTTTCCTCAGGCAGACCTTGTGGGGCCAAGCTGATGACCTCAGCAGGGTTTTATTCCTCTTACCTGATTCCGCACTCACTCCAGAAGGACCTCTCTCCTCTTGGCTTGTCTCCTAGCTCCCTGCCTCTCTATACTCTTGCTCAGGCCTGCCCCATGGGCTCCTGTGAAGTCAGGAGCGAAGGCCAGCACAGGCTCAGAGTCACCTAAGCTCAGAACCACTTAAGCTGGGTTTTCTCTTCTGTAGTGGACTATTACTTCCCCCATCCTCCACCACAGAAGCCAGATACTGGACGGGAGGTGGATGAAGAGAAGGAGGAGATGAGTGAGTAGGACCAGGCAGATCCCATAGCAGGCCACCTTCTTAGGCCAGCTCTGTCAGACCTGCCCCTGGCTTAGCATGACCCTCTAAGTTGCCTACTTAGCCTGACCCCTCTACATGTCCCCAGCTTAGCCTGACCCCTCCCTGCATGCTCTCAAATCAGCCTGATTCTCATGTGCCCCCAGCTTTGCCTGACCCCCGCCACATGCTCCCTGCTCAGCCTGGCTTCCTGGACCCCAAGCCTAGGACCAACCTGACTGGCTTCTTCTATATGTTCCAGAGAAACCCAAAAAGGAGGGCAGTAGCCCCAAAGGAGAGACGGAGGACAAGTGGGCTGCAGAGAAAAGCAAGGACCACAAAGGTGTATGGCCTGTCCCCCATGGAGCAGTACTTGGCCTTTTGGAGCAGTACTTGGCCTTTTGCTGTCTCAGGTTCTTGGCTTCAGTCCCTCCCTTTGCTGTCAACAGGGCCCCAGAAGGGTGAGGAGCTGGAGGAGGAGTGGGCTCCAGTGGAGAAAATCAGTGAGTGGGGCTGGGCTGGGGTAGGGGCTCAGCAGGGGCAGCAGGGTAATGACCCCCTCAGGACCACACATGGGGGCCCGCCCACCTTTCTGATGTAGCTTTGCACCTCCTAGAAGCCCTTCCTGCCCATCGATTCTTATAGCACACAAGGGAGAAGCCCATGAGTTGAGGGCAGCTTTTCTCAGTTACACTTGTGCACTGGCCTGAGGCTGGCCTGCTTCAGGGGGGCAGAGCTTCTTGGCTTCTAGCAGTTGGGGTCATAATGGCGGGGGCAGAGCTTTGGGTGAGGAGTGAGGTCTCCAGATGCCTTCACAGGCTTCCTTCTGAAGGCAGTGTGCATGGTCTCATCTGGGTGAAGTCCCTGGGGAGGCTCTACCTGAGATTTATCCTGGGAGCTGGGCACCATCAGTTCATAGTTCAGCAGGGGAAGCAGGCTGGGGTCAAAGTGTCACCTGACCTGGTCTGAATCCCCTCAAGATGGATAGAGTCCACAGTCTTCAGGACCACAGGCCACACAGTTACCCTCTGACTGGCACCCACACGTAAGGGTCACGGGCTCTAGGTCTATTGGCTCTGGATTGATGGAGGAAGGATTGAGTCCGTAAGCTGCTAGCCCAGGGTGTATATCTTCAGAGTGTCCACCTATTGGGATCGAGTCACACCGCATTGAAGACAACCAGATCCGTGCCTCCTCTATGCTACGCCATGGCCTGGGAGCTCAACGGGGCCGGCTCAACATGCAGGTGGGTGAGTGGACTGTGTTCATTGTGCAGTGGGCAAGGGCTCCTCTTGGCCATGCTCAGCCTCCCCTCTGACAGGCTGGTAACAATGAAGATGACTACTATGATGGGGCATGGTGTGCTGAGGATGAGTCACAGACGCAGTGGATTGAGGTGGACACCAGAAGGACGACTCGATTCACAGGCGTTATTACCCAAGGCCGGGACTCCAGCATCCAGTATGTAGATGGGCTTTTAGGCAGTGGGCAGGGGCTCCAGAACAATTCTGAGTCCCATTTGGAACCTTCCAGACAGTCCTTGACCTGAACTAGGAAGGCCAGAAAAAAAAATCTATGAGGGGCCAACTATGCATCTGCCCCTCAGCCATGGCTAGTCAGTCCCCATGTTCTGATGAGCATACAAATTCCTCAGCAGCCACTGTCCACAGCCAGACAGGCACAGGACCTGGCTACTGATGTCAGGACATGCTCCATAGTCCTGCAGGCCCAGAAGTTAGTCTCAGGGCCTAAGGGCCTCAGGCAGGAGAACAGCTTTGTCTTGACCATGTCTGCTCCACAGTGACGACTTTGTGACCACCTTCTTCATGGGCTTCAGCAATGACAGCCAGACCTGGATGATGTACACTAATGGATATGAGGAAATGGTGGGTGACAGAACTTGTCTGGGCCAGGGTGGGCTCTTGGGTGAGGGAGGGTGCTACACTGAGGCCTGCCCCTCTCTAGACCTTCTACGGGAATGTGGACAAGGACACACCTGTGCTGAGTGAGCTCCCTGAGCCGGTGGTGGCCCGTTTTATCCGCATCTATCCACTCACTTGGAATGGTAGCCTGTGCATGCGCCTAGAGGTGCTGGGCTGCCCTGTAACCCGTGAGTGCAGAGGGGCTGGTTGGGGTTGGGGAGACTGACGGTGACTTGGGTGTGGGCCAAAGGGCAGCTGGCCCTTTCTCTGCAGCTGTCCACAGTTACTATGCACAGAATGAGGTAGTGGCCACTGTTAGACCCTCTCTGCCTGATTCTCTGCAGCTGTCCACAGTTACTATGCACAGAATGAGGTAGTGGCCACTGACAACCTGGATTTCCGGCACCACAGCTACAAGGATATGCGCCAGGTTAGGAGTCTGAGACACAGGCTGTGATGGGCCCTGAACTGGGGACAAAAGAGCCCTGTCCCTACTATTCCAGGGATATAGCCTCCCCAGAGAAATGTTGGCCATCCTTTTCCTTAGGGAGGAAACTAGTACCTGGGGCATCTGAGATGGGCTGGAGTTACCTGCCTCTTCCCATAGAACAGATCAGAAAAGTAGGAGAGGCCTGGTCAGTGATGTCATGTCTCCTCCCTGCCAGCTGATGAAGGTGGTGAATGAGGAGTGCCCCACCATTACTCGAACATATAGCCTGGGCAAGAGCTCTCGGGGGCTCAAGATCTATGCTATGGAGATCTCGGACAACCCTGGGGAGCACGAGCTGGGTGAGGGTCTGACATTGCTTTGCCAATGCCCGAAGTACCAGGGCCCTCTCACAGCTTCCCTCCAGTTGGGCCTGCATGGTGGATATGTGGAGCTCACCACCCACTGCCTGACTGGGAGCCCTCAGGGGATCCAGCTCTGCCTTGCTGGACACCATAAGCCTCACTTGCCCTCAGACCTCTAGGGTACATACAGGGCTTGCCAGGCTGAGTGCTTGGTGTGGCTCATGGCCTTGCAGGGGAGCCTGAGTTTCGCTACACAGCTGGGATCCATGGCAATGAGGTGCTAGGCCGAGAGCTACTGTTACTGCTTATGCAGTACCTGTGCCGTGAATACCGAGACGGGAACCCTCGAGTGCGCAGCCTGGTGCAAGACACACGCATCCATCTGGTGCCTTCGCTGAACCCTGATGGCTATGAGGTGGCAGCGCAGATGGTGGGTTGTGGGGCTGACCAGGGCAGAGTTTGGGGGCATGGGCAGGACCCTCCACATCAGTCCCATAGTCACCTACTGTCTCTCTGCAGGGCTCAGAGTTTGGGAACTGGGCGCTAGGGCTGTGGACGGAAGAGGGCTTTGATATCTTTGAGGATTTTCCGGATCTCAATTCTGTGCTCTGGGCAGCTGAGGAGAAGAAATGGGTCCCCTACCGGGTTCCCAACAATAACTTGCCCATCCCTGAACGCTATCTGTCCCCAGAAGCCACGGTGAGGAGCAGGTCTTGGGGTTCTGGCAGGAGGCAGCTGTTGGGTGGCTGAGTTGTGGGCACTGCAACTTTGAAGGGCAAGGGGAAGAATCAGAGGGACATGGGCAGGAGGAGGGGAGTGTGGCGCTAGTAGAGAGCTCCACAGATCGGGGGGACATGGCCTCTTGTTCTACCCATCCGTAGGTGTCCACAGAGGTCCGGGCCATCATTGCCTGGATGGAGAAGAACCCTTTCGTGCTGGGAGCTAATCTGAATGGTGGCGAGCGGCTTGTGTCTTACCCATATGACATGGCCCGGACACCCAGCCAGGAGCAGCTGTTGGCTGCAGCAATGGCAGCTGCCCGTGGGGAGGATGATGAGGAGGGCTCTGAGGCTCAGGAAACCCCAGACCACGCCATCTTCCGCTGGCTGGCCATCTCTTTCGCCTCTGCTCACCTCACCATGACTGAGCCCTATCGGGGAGGGTGCCAGGCCCAAGACTACACCAGCGGCATGGGCATCGTCAATGGGGCCAAGTGGAACCCCCGTTCTGGGAGTGAGTCAGCCTGGGAGAGCTGGGGGAGGACACATGGCCTGGGAAGAGGCTGACCATGAGTCTATTTTTGTCTGTTCAGCTATCAATGACTTCAGTTACCTGCATACCAACTGTCTGGAGCTCTCTATTTACCTGGGCTGTGACAAGTTCCCCCATGAGAGTGAGCTGCCCCGTGAGTGGGAGAATAATAAGGAGGCACTGCTTACCTTCATGGAGCAGGTAGGGCAGCTGGGGCTGCACACAAGGGTGAAGCTTAGGAGGGCCCTGGCCATGGAATCTCTATGTGGGCCTCCACCTCACTTTCTTTCTGTAGGTGCACCGTGGCATCAAGGGTGTGGTGACAGATGAGCAAGGCATTCCCATTGCCAATGCTACCATCTCTGTGAGTGGCATCAACCATGGTGTGAAGACAGGTACTTAATGCATGTACCTTTTTTTATTTTGATGCAGGGTCTTACCATGTACCTCTGGTTGGCCTGGAACTCTCTATGCAGCCCAGGCTAGTCTTTAATTCACAATCCTGCTTGAGCCTCCTGAATATTGGGATCATAGGCATGTGTTGTGACACCTGGCTCTCATATGCACATCTTTAGCTGCCTTCCCCAAGTGGGGCTCACCTTGTCCTCCCTATGTAGTGCATCCAAGGAGCCAAACAGTCTTGGAGGGCAAGTCTGGTTTGTCTAGCAGGTCTCTGCTCCCCTGGACCCTACTAGAGATGTTGGGTCTGACCAGAAATTGAAGAGCATGGCCTGGGGAAAAATCTAGGGCCCAGGCTTGGGGGAATCTGAGAGGGTGGAGCTGGAGAGCCCTGGGACAGCCAGCCTTATCTTCCCCATGCAGCAAGTGGAGGTGACTACTGGCGCATCCTGAACCCGGGTGAGTACCGTGTGACAGCCCATGCAGAGGGCTACACCTCAAGCACCAAGACCTGCAATGTGGACTATGATATTGGAGCCACCCAGTGCAACTTCATCCTGGCTCGATCCAATTGGAAGCGCATTCGGGAGATCCTGGCTATGAATGGGAACCGGCCCATACTCCGCATCGACCCCTCACGACCCATGACCCCCCAGCAGCGGCTCATGCAGCGGCGCCGGCTACAGTACCGGCTTCGGATGAGAGAACAATTGCGGCTGCGCCGCCTCAATACTACTGCAGGCCCTGCCACAAGCCCCACCCTTGCTCCTACTCCCACTCCTACCCCTACACCAGATGTTACCTGGAGGCCCTGGAGCCTTCCACCCACAACCACTGCAGGCTGGGAGGAATCGGAGACTGAGACCTACACAGAAGTAGTGACAGAGTTTGGGACAGAGTTTGGGACTGAGCTGGAGGAGGAAGAAGTAGAGGAGGAGGAAGAGGAGATGGACACTGGCCCTATGTTCCCATTCACAACAGTGGAGACCTATACAGTGAACTTTGGGGATTTTTGAGACAGGATCCCAATGGCCTTACCCAACTCAAACTAAAGCAGCACTTCCCAAGCCTGTGCCGGCAGACCTATATCCAGCAGCACCTGGAAGACCCCGAGTGGGCCCCCTAACCCAGTGGGGGCATGAAGGCCACCAGGACTCCAAAGCCAGAGTCTGTAGGATCTCCAGTTCTACTGGAGAACTTTGGGGAGGGGAAGGCAAGGAAGCCAAGGTCACACCAATAAAACAAGCTCATGGCATTGACCGCCATCATTTTGACCAGCTCAGGGAAGAGGCTTACTCGCTGGGGCTCCTACCAGCTCCATCCCACACATGCCCAGGTAGTCAAGGTTCAGACCTGCAAATGTTCATAATTTATTTACAGGGCTCATACTGCAGGGGTGAATGGCCTGAACCAGCAGCCTCTCATCAGGGTCCCAACCCCAGGCTTCCCAGGTCATCGTCATCTGCTCCAAAGCCTGTGAAGCTGATAGGCTGACAGGCCAGGCTGCGCAGGTTCACCAGGCAGGCAGTCTGTGTGGAACTAAAGTCAGGAACGGCCACCAACAGCACCATCTGGTCCTCAGGACCTGCAAAGTAGTCATATGGGACCCACCTTAGGCTCTGGGTAAGAAGACCCTCTTTACAGGGAAAACTCTAGAAATAGCAGCCACAGTGGGACCAAGTGCTTAGAGACATTTTAGAACTCATCTAGTCAGCCAGCCAATACTATGTAACACAATGGTCACTGCCCAGACCATCTATCCATAGAGACCTTTGTATCCAGGTGAAGCAAAACTGCTCCTGACAGCTCAGGCCTGGAGTCCCCAAAGATAAAACTTACCCTGGATAATTTTGGAGCCAAAGCTGGGGGTGTTGCCACAGAAGTAGACATGAGGGCACTCCGGAAAGATGAATGGGTCAGTTTTGTAGAAAGGGTAACAGCCTGGAAAGAAGGCAGTTGCTGAGCAGTCCCACTACAGGGTCATCCTACATAGCACTGCAGCAGTGTATCTCTCATCCCACTGAATGCCAGCAACAGACTCCAATCGTGACAAAAGTGCTCCATGGTCACATGGCACAGGGGGAGGGTGCTGGGGGCTGTGCAACGCCCAGCTCAGAGTCTGCAACCCTGAGCAGGCTTTAGCCACAGATAGAATTAAGCCCTACTTCCCATTCTAGAGTTACTTCCAGAACAGGTTCTCTTAGATAGGCATAGGCAAGACTATGGATACAAGGCTGTGCTTGGAACCCATCCCTGCCCCTTCGTCCCACTCGTGTAAATGAGCAGATACCTAGGGTGTCCGGAGCTGTGGGGCTGATGTGACGGACCCGCAGAGTCCACTCTAGGATTTCCAAATGGTCTTCCATGCTACTATATCGGAAAATATCACTCACGTTCTGTCCAGATGTTCCTAGGAACCTGCAGGGACAAGACTCTACTGATTATGGCTGGGGATGGGGGTAGGGGCGTGCGGCTACCATTGCCCTCCCCAAAGACTATCTCAGATCCTACCCAGTGGCCTCATGGGAGTGCCCAAGGCCAACCTTGCAGAGAAGACAGATGCCAGGAGGACCTTCTGCAGCGCTGTCCCCTCTTAGGCTTACTCTGTTCCTATGTCTTGTGCCATGTAGCTACCTGACTCCATCGATGGTGGCTTGGTATGGGTTGGTGACCAGCTGGAGTGTGGAATAGGCAGTGGCCAGTGGGAACATGCAGGGGTGCAGGGGCTGCTGGGGGAGTGTATAGTTGGTTGGATCAAATTCGCCTGGCATCACATCCACGGGCACCGAGGCCTGGAGGGCACAAAAAGCAGGGAGAGCTCACAGGACCCAAGAAAGCCCCACCTTCCATGCTGCTTACTCCCTCTCCCTTCCCCACCCAATAGCAACTTCACCAATCAGGTTTCTATCACCCTGCCAGCCCCCAAGCCACTCACGCTCAGCTGCAGAAGGATTTCATCCAGCATTTTGACGGCCTCCACGCTGGCTGCCTGGGTTTTCTTGGTGAGGTACCTGGCCTAAGAGAAGAGGCCCAGGATGTGGTCAGGCCTCCAGCAAGGCTCAGATCAGGGGGACACCCACAGTCTATCTGGGTCCTTGGCTCTGAGAACAGTGAAAGCCAGCAGCACATAGACAGGGAGTGGTCCCAGAGGCCCTGCACTCTACCCTGGTCTCCATTCTCTCAGGGAGTGGGGCCTTATGAGGACAGCCCTGGGGCAGCAGGCCTTGTCATATTAACAGGCCAGGGATGCAGCCAGGCAGACTCCATACCTTGTTAATAGAATCTCTGCTCTGGGTGTTGTGGCTGAGGAGGTTGCCGGCAAGGATGACTCGGGAGACGTGGGCAGCACTGCACTGTTCCCCTTCGTCCCCAAGCTGCCCCGTCACAACATCTACCAGCAGTTGGGTGCCCAGCAGGCTCTCACCACCACCTCCGCCCAGGCCCAGCCCGGATACCAGCAGCACAAACCTGTAGAGGAGGGTGGGGTTCTACAGGGTGCCAGGAGAAGGCATTTCCTCCCTGCACAGACACTAGGATCCCCAAGTGGGACTCCTTACCTGTCTGTGTCAAGTGAGGGTGCGGGCTTCTGTGGAGCCAGGTCAGCAAAGCAGTGGTCCTCCACCTGAAACTTGCCATCATCTCTCACGGAGCCAAACACTGCCAAGACTGTACCTAGGAAGCGATGAAGTCAGAACCCAAAAAGGCAGCCTGAGTGAGCAAAATTAGATACTACTGCCACTCTCTCCCTCAGCCACCCCAGTGAATTCGCTTAGGGCTCTGGGACTCTCTGTCTACTTCTTGGGGTCACTGCTTCTGGGCAGAGGCAGGAAGACTGATCTCCCTAAGCCCCTCTCATGGCTTTCCCACCAACATACTCTCACAAGGTTCCCACCTTCTACACACTCTTGCTGGGCACCCCCTCTACCACTTTCATTCCAGGATCCCTACCACATTCCCTGGGCTCCCACCTGTGACCAACTTTGACACATCGATGGTGCCTTTCAGTTTGATACGCTGCAATTCATCTTCCAAGATCAGCTCATCATCTGGGTGGATGTATTTGCTCCTAGGAGGCTGGGGGATCAGGTTGTGCTGGAAGACAGAGACAGAAGATGGTCTCCAAGCCCAGGCCACCATGACTTCTGTGTTATGAACTGGCACCACAACCACTGCCTGGTAAGACCCACTCCCTCACCCCTACACAGTCAGAGGCCCAGCCCTAATCCACTAGACTACAAAGGCAGCACATCAGAATCTGCCATGGCAGGGCTCACCTCCTCGCTGATCTCGCGCAGGATGGAGGGCTGGAGTGGCATGGCTTTGAAGAGAGTGCCCACCACACAGCACTTTTCCCCAGGCTGTAGCTCACACAGCTTCTTCACTCCAACTCCATTGCCTGAGTTGAGGGCACAGGCTCAGATGATGCAACACCACCCTGATGATACCCACAGAGGACCCTACCCAACCCTCTACCACAGGATGCTTATTGGACCTCACAGAAGTGCCACTGCCTTGGCTTTTGCCAGTACATCAAGCGAAGACCCCTGGACCTCAGTGTAATGATAGGGTCAACCAGAGGGAAGAAGGGGCTCTGGGTGGGACTTGGCTACAGCACGTCTTAAGAGGCAGGGAGGGGGGCTGAAGAGATAGCTCAGTGGTTAAGAGCACTTGTTGCTCTTGCAGAGGACTTGGGTTAGGTTGCCAGCAACCACATGGCAGTTAACAACCATCCATAACTCCAGTTCCAGAGGATCCGGTGCCTTCTTCTGGGCTCCATGAGCACTGCATGCATGTGGTATACTTACATACATGTAGGCAAAACACTCATATACATAAAAAGGCAGGGAGGGTCAGACATGCAAAGGCAAGGCCACGTGAAGACAAAGAACAGACTGGAGTGGTGTAACCACAAGCTAGGAACTCCTGTCCCCCATCAGCACAGCCAGAGTCACTTATGTCCTGGAGCAGCCAGGAACATTCCTCAGAGCTCCACCCAGGGGAGCAGAAAACTCAGCAGAAGCACTCCACAGAAACATCAGATGCCAAAAAAAAACAACAGATTCCAAATCCCCGCCTGTGGCTCTGCTATAGCTTTGGGGGTGGTTTCAGTGTGGCGGTGATGGAGGAACATTGAAGAGGTAGGACCAGGTGGGAGACGCTACAGGAAATGTCCTCAGATGGGATTAATGCTGCTCTTATCCATCTTCTCATTTGCTCCCTGTTTTCCTATTTGCTGATGTCATCTCTCCCTACAGCACATGGTCCTGTTATCTGCTATGAAATCCTCACCAGAGTAAAGCTGAAGTCAGTGCCATGTCCTTGACTCTTCAGGACTATGAGCTAAATGACCCTCTTTTGAAGTATCTTGTTTTAGTAACAGAAATGTATAGGAAACCAGGATGCCAGGCCCTAGGGTAAGGTGAGCCTAAAACTTACAGGTCCAGGCTGCATTCTCTGCCAAAGGGAGGGGCACTGAAAACAGTGGCTCTGATAATCCCTGTCTTGCAGAACAATGCTAGACCGGCAGGAGGAAGCAGCCGGGTCATAAAAGTGCAGGCTCCCTGCTCTGTGGGAAAGCGTCTTGGTCAACAACCCTTAGCTCATCTCCTTGTCCTGAACAAATAACTCAGCTATCCCTGGCTAAGAGATTAGGCCAGCTCTAAGAAAGAAAACATTGTAGCCAATAAATTACTGGATGGGCATTGATAACCTTGAGTAAAAGTTTAAGAATCTTTCTGGTGCCAACTAACAGACTAAATGTCCTGTTTCTTTGTACCCTAAATCTTTGTATGTGACTGCCATATGTCTGCTAGTTCCTTGGGATGTATAAAAACCATCTGAATTTTAAAATAAATTGACCTGTTGGGAAGACACAGGTCCCAGAGTTTATGACTCTGTCGCTGATCAGACCCTCTGCCCTGAAGCCAGTAGGTTCTCTGCTGAGCAAAGCAAACCTGAGTATGGGGGGGGTGCGCTCTCTGGGCACTCGGGGTCCCTGTGCGCACCTGGCTAGTCGCGGGCGGGTCTGGCCACAGGCGTCTCTGGCCGCGGCTGCTCCGGGAGCGGCGGCGGGTGGCGCGCAGGCTTTTCCTGGTGGCTCGGGCCTGTGTCTCTGGAGCTTCCTCTGCTACTGAAGCATTGTTCAGCCAAAATCCCGTCCCTAATCCACCCGTGTACTATTCCTCAGGATGCGAGGTTCCTGGCCACAGAACCACGCAGGGAAGAGTACGGAGACGGCGAAAGCTAGAATGTCCGTAAGCCGGTCACGAGGGAGTGCACCCCCCTGGAGAGATTGGGCCGCCGGTAGTAACACAAGACTCAAGACTTAGTCTGTGTTACAGCTTTATTGTCTGCAACCCAATTCTCTGCAGCCCAATTCTCTGACCATTAAGAGAAGACTAAGGCATTTATACCATGGGGTAGTGGTAAAAGCTTTGGCTGTTAGATGCTTTGTGAGCCATTGTATTTACATATAGAAGTGGATTTCTGCCACAGACTGCTGTCTGCTAGGAAAAATTACAGGAAGGCATGGTACCTGTTAGAGCCAAAGGCCATGTTTATGTTATGGCATTCATGGCGGACAGTTCAAAAGGAGAGACAGGAAAGATGCCAGGAAGACATCTTGCTATGAAAGGAGCCCGCAGCACATAATTCCCGAGCTGCATGAGCTGTCCGGTGTGAAGGGGCTTCGACTTTGCATAACAGAGGCTCCCAACACCTGAGCCCCGGCAGAAATGGACTAAATATGCTGCAGGTGGCTTCCCTAAGCACTATACACACAAGACTCTGGGAAGGAGCCTCTCATTACATGGTAGTGGGGAGGTACACAGAAAGCAGAAAATATCCTATGAATTTGCTGATCTAAGTAACAAACTTCTGGGCCAGGTGTTCTTTTACTGCCTAAATAAATCAAGAGTTGATCCAGTGGCTTGAGGTGGGGTGGGATGGGCCTAAGGGCCAGTGTTTGCTAAAGTCCCCAGTAGTTCCCATGTGTAGCCAGGGCTGAGAGATGCTGAGAACAATGAATAGGCATGGTCTCACAAAAGCCTCAGTTTATATACCTCACAGGAGCTAGGTGTGGTGATGCACACCTTTAATCCCAACACTTAAGAGGCAGAGGCAGGTAGATCTCCGTGAGATCAAGGCCAGCCTGGTCTACAGAGTGCCAAGTTCCAGGACAGCTGGGGCTACAGGGAGACCCTGCCTCAAAAAGACCAAAAAAAGGAGATAAAGCTGAGATAAAGCAGCATGACCCAAAAGTGACAGGTGGGAGACAGATTCTGCTTCACTACCCAGAGCGATCTCACTGTAGGCACAAGCACCCAGGAAGAAATAGGGAGACTGTGTTGCCAACACTACATTAGGAAAGAGAATGAACCCAAGGACAGACCTACCAAATATGGGAGGTCAGGAGAAGCAGACATTAGTGAACAGAGGGGTCCTTCTAGACCACAGTTGTGCCTCCAGCATCCTTGGCTTCTGGAGCTAGGCCTGACACATTGAGGGGACTCTCTCTCTCTAGCCACGGTGTGGACAAATGATTGAATAATATGCACTAAGGACAGTTTGAAAACCATTTTCTCTCACGGAGGAAACAGTCACCATCAGTGCCAAAACCTAGTCCTTAATTCTGACCAGCCTCTGAACTAAACCCAAGTTCAAATCACAGGTTAATTTAATCCTCATTTTTACATTAAGGAGAAACAGAGGAATAAAGAGGTTAATTTCCCATGGTAACTGGAAGTAGGATAGGTTAGAGAAAAATTCTTGTTCTAGGTTCTGAGCTGGTGAGAGAAGCATACCTCAAAGTCACTTACCCCAGTGCTGCTGGGCCCGGCTCACCAGGAAGGGTCTCATCTGGATGAGGCGGGTGGCATAAATGTGGGCATACTGCCGGCTAAAGCTGCGCTCTCCTAGTCGGAAGGGTTGTGATGAGTTGGTGTAAGTTGCCACAGGCACCCGGGCAAAGGTAGCATTGTTGGCTGATGGAGGAGATAGCAGAGTGTGGGCCCTCTGGGCTGCCTGCTCTGAAAACATGGTGGCACTCCTTGTTTTGTTCAGACAGCTGTGGCCAGGCCAGGGAGGATCACTGTAAAGACATAAAGGCACTCCTGCAATCCCTGTTGGAACCCAAGGCAGCAGCTCTTCTGGTGCCCCAACCAAGCTGCCCAAACCACACCCAACAGCCCTGAGAAAGAACAGACATGGTGCCCCCCTGGAACTATTGTGTCTATAGAGATGTCACCCTGTAACCTTGACCAGGTAAGAAAATTTGAATGTGTCTCCCACTTGGCGCTCTCTCCAATCCCTGCTCATCCACCTCCCCGCTATTTCTACCCAGACAAATACCAGGGTCTCAAATTCAGCACACCCCCAAATGGAATTCTTGATCTGCCTCCATCCAGCCCCATCTCTGGGAATGCTGCCAGACTTACTACTAAAGGAGTTTTGCATCACATACTTCTTAAAAGTATTAAAACTTTCTGAGGGCTCTTATTTCACTAAATAAAGCCTCAAGTTCTTAGCACTGTCAATGAGATCTGCCTTGGGGCAGGGCTGGTCCACCTGTCTTTCACCTTCCTTCCTAGTGTCCAGTCTACAGCAGGGGCTAGAGCAAAGGCCTGTCCTGCTGGCTTCTCTGCCATGTGCCACCAAGGCTCACTGGCTCTTCCCTTTCAACTCACACTCAGGATCCCCACTTCTGCAACCCACCCTGTTACATCTGCTTCTCCAATCATTTCTTTGTTCTTTCAAGTATTTACTTTGCTTCCTCTGACTGCACCATAAGCTCCAAGAGGGCAGAGTTTCTTTGTTTTCTGCTCGGACATATTACCCCACTGTCCCATAAGGAGTTCGGCTAAGATGTGCCTGCAGGATGCACAGAGGATTTCGGTGAATAGTATAAAGGGTATTCCAATGTATTAGACATGAACCGTTGACATGACAACAGTTTGGACATATTAATAATAAGTTGTGAACACAGCTTTCTTTTCATTTTACTTTTTTGGTATAGCAACTATAAAGTTCAAACTTTGGTAGGTGGCGCGTGCTGTCTCTACGGCTCAGCTCTGGTTTAGGACGCAGGCTCTATGAATCTGCCGAAAGGGAGCAAGTGAACTCACTTTAAGACAAACAGACACAATGGTGGCAGCGGCCCACAAGGTGCCCCCAGCGAAACGCGGCTGACGTCCACACCCCCTCGACTAGCACCCCAAGCCCGGTGCCACGCAGCAGTACGAAGCAGCCCGCCCCTGCCCGAGACAGCAGCCGCGGTCTCGACGCCCCGAGCCGGGCCCGGCACCCGCACTGGCCCTCCTCCGCAGCTCCACACTCACCACACCGCCAGCCGCCCGCTGCATCCCGCCAATCTCCGCGCGCCCGCCCCACCCACCACAGCATCCGGCCAATCGCCGGCCGCTCCGCCCCGTCCATCCCCGCCAATCCCCGTGCGCCCAGCCCCAGGAGGCCAAGAGAGGGCGAAGCCACGCCTCGATTTCCGGGACAACGCGAGGATGCGGGGGTTCTGGGTATCCGGTGCGCATGCTTATGCTCCGCAGAGGGTTTGAGCTGTGAGAGGTACCCAAAGGCAGAAGGCGAGATGGGTCGGGCTTGTCTGGGGGAACCGGGTGGGTTTCCGCGGTGACCGCCGAGCGGCCTAGGAGCGCAAGTGACCGCAGTGAGAGGGTCCTCCGCCCCCTCATCACAGGCCCCAGTGTCCGGTACCCTCGTGGGAAGTGCTCCTGTTTCTGCCTACAGATGTGTAGAATCTAACCGAAGGCTGTCCCTCCTCTCCAACCTACACTGTGAATCCCACTCTGGCTTCCGGTAGTACATGCTTCCCAAGACCAGGTCTTGTCTCAAGGTGTGCATATTAATACTTGAAAGCTTGCCACTCTTCTGAATCTCACACGTCAGTTCATCTCCTTGTCAAATTCCCTTTGAAGTTTTTGTTTTTTTTGTTTTCTGCCTAATTAGGCTGAAACTTTCAGTATGATGTAAAGTGGTGTGTGTGGGAAGGGCTGGCTGGAGAGATGGCTCAGTGATGACCTTTTCTGGCCTCCGTGGTGCATGTGGTGCACATACATGCAGGCAAACACATACACACAATAAACAAATTTCTTTTTTGAGACGGTCTCACTGTGCAGCCCAGGCTGGCCTGGAACTCACTATGTAGATCAGACTGGCCTCAAACTTACAAACATCCACCTCTACCTCCTGAGTGTTGGGATTAAAGGCCTATTCCAGCACACCTAGTATAAAATTTTGTTTTAAAAAGAAAAAAAGTTGTGTAAGTAGGCATCTTTATTAACACTGTCTCTCATCTAAAGGCATGCTTTTAGTAATTTGTCGTGATGTTACCTGTGGGTTCTTACTATGTTGACTTTATTATTTGAAGTAGTTTATGTATAGCTTGGTGAGTTTTGTTTTCATTTTTATTTTTTTAATTAATTAATTTATTTTGATATTTTTGAGACATGGTCTCCCTGTAGCCCCAGCTGGCTTGGAACTCGGTAGACCAAGCTGGCCTTGAACTCACAGAGATCCACCTGCCTCTGCCTCCTGAGTGCTGGGATTAAAGGCATGCACCACCATGCCCAGCTTGTTTTCAATTTTTAATCATGATTTGAATCTTTTTTTTTTTTTTTCCTGGAGCTGAGGATGGAACCCAGGGCCTTGTGCTTGCTAGGCAAGCACTCTGCCACTGAGCTAAACCCCCAACCCCCATGATTTTAATCATTTAAAAATATTT